CGGGAACATATAACTTTTTTCAAACTGGTCTAAATTGACTGGAATCTTTTTTCTAAGTGTTAAAGGGATATACTTTTTCTTTAGTAGCATACTTTTTCTTTAATTCTGCATATTACTATTATTGTTATTATTATATTATTATATTAGTATATTATTATAGTATTATATTATTATATTATTATAGTATTATATTAGTATATTATTATAATATTGTATTATTATAGCGTTATATTAGTATATTATTATAGTATTATATTAGTAAATTATTATATTATTATAGTATTATATTAGTATATTATTATAATATTGTATTATTATTATTATTATTATTATTATTAGTATTAATTCTGCAATTCTCACATAAAACGAGAATAGAAGATGAAAAACACTCGTTTTTTTGACTTTTTTAATTGAACCTGGAATTTTATGTAATGGCAGAATTAAAAAAAGAAAAAGTATGTTAGTCCTTGTACCGTAAACTTTTAACATCCATCCCCCTTAACGCTTGAAGAAAAATTAAAAAATAATTGTACAAGCCGACGGATCCACAATATTTAAATTAACAAGAAGTTATTGCATTTTATAAAAGGTGAACGAACACTTCTTGCCAGAGATGATTGTGTACGATGATTTGTTTTTGACGAAGTTCTAAGGCGTCCTAAAGGAATTCTAAGAAGGCCTTAGAGACCCTAGCGAATTCTTGGAAGATAAGAGTTCGTCGAGAGCAGCGTTCCCCAAGATTTTTGGGCTGTGCTCCGCGTAAACGCTTGGATGATCTCGGTACTCGCCGAGATATAACAGTGAAATAAGCTCTAAAATAGTTCGCTATGAATAGGTGCTTCAAATAAACGAGGCGCATGCATACATGGAACTGTTTTTAATCTGATTCTCTTGGATGTTTTAACGGCGAAGCCCGAAGTGAACCGTTGAAACACGGATAACCCGTTTCAACGCTAGATTTACGGAACGCTGAAAGCAGCTGTTTTACATTGTTTCGTAAAAGCAGCAAGGCGATATCTGCTCCGATTTTTAACGGGCGTTATTTGTCGCAAGTGACGAAGAATTGTAAATTAAATAATTCGTCATACCGACGTCATACTACTTTTCAAGATACATAAATCTTTTTTTCTCGTTACACATTATCCATATTTACAATATATATACAGGGTGTTCCACAATTATTTTAACAGCCGAAAATGAGGGGTAGATGAGGTCATTTGAAGTAACTTTTTCCTTTGCGAAAATGCGATCTGCGGCTTCGTTCACGAGTTATTAACGGAAAACACTGACCAATGAGAGGTGACGGCGCGAAGTTCGAGAGCCCGCAGCACGAGGCTTTGACAGATGGTCGGGACGGACTCGAGCCGCGTTCGAAGTATTGAACAAATCACGAAGCGAGAACTTTCCGGATTATTTTTTACTACGTAACAGTGATATTTTTAAGAAAAACGCTGTTCACCTTTACTTTAGAACGTCTGAAGAATATTTACTCCTCATTTTCGGCTGTTAAAATAATTGTGGAACACCCTGTATATATTTT